TTTTTCAGTGACATATACCTTTCTACCTTTCTGTACCTCTAATGTATATGACAGTTTTTTGAGAGTGCTTCACTCAACCAAACACACTCGTTGTCCAAGTAAAACTTATATATATATATATATATATATATATATATATATATATATATATATATATATATATATATATATATATATATATATATATATATATATATATATATATATACATAATATATCGATATTCATGTGCACACTATAAAATATATTTTCTTACTGTAATTTCTATATGCATGTTTCGTGTTAATTATTGAGCCGTTCCACTTATGATTAAAATTTGCGGCAATTTACAATAGACTCGCTATTGGCTGCTAGGCAAATTAATGTTCTTTGCCTGTCCTTGAGTATATTATACAAAGTATTTAATCCTTTCAATTCCTAGTAATTCTTTGCGGTTTTCTACATATGAAACTGAAATTAGACTCCATGCAGTATGTATTGTAGATCTTGGTAGGCAGCGTAGCGACGTCGCAAATGCAGTCCGCAAAGAATACACATACAAAAACATCTGATCACCCATTGATTTTGCGACACAAGCTCTTGCTATTCATTAAAATTACATGCATTTGTTAAAATACACACATTCTGAACTTTATCGAATTGATATCTGCAACTAGATCGGTAAACCGAACTTAGCCCCCCACCGTTATATAAAAATTTTGTTATTTCCCAAAATCTGGGAGACACCCTGGACCAGTTTCGTTCCTCCAGCGATGTATGTAGTGGAAAGAGCCTGGGTACGAGTTTGACGATGCTCTTGATTGTTTAATCGATAAATTTCGATCCAAAAAGGCCGCAATAAATTGCACTGAGTTCGTGCGGTTTTTCAGGACGCAATTTTGGTGACAAGTTTCATGGCGTGAGCATGACGTGTAGGCTACATGCATCTAGGGAAATTTGAGGACACGAAGTCGTATCAGTTACACATCTGGGGCCGGTTGTATCAAGCCCGTTTAGCTTAAACGGTGGTTGAGCTCAAAATAGAAAGCAAGTCTATAGATTCATTCAACAACCAAACTAAAAGTTTTGAACCTTAATAGAACGATAATGTTTACAACTACATATTCAGTGCACAATATTTAAGTTGACTGATTCACGAGAGATATAAGAGTGTTATTTAATTTTGACTTATCCACCGTTTAAGCTAAACGGGCTTGATACAACCGGCCCCTGGTATAGGTAGCCGAAACGTCAGAAACAATTACTGAAAAATTATAATCTGGGTGATCGTACAATAAACCTTCATGCAATGTATTAATTATATTCATGCGTAACTCGTGCATGTGTTTTGGCCTGTCTTAATTGCAGACCCAAATAGAACACAATATCTCTGTGAAGAATTTCAATATAGTGCATCTATACCTAACTAGATGCAGCTTGTGGGGGAGTACAGACATCCTGTCTCTATAGGAATTGAAATTTTTATTAATTGCCACCATTTTTCTGAACAAAGAAAATTAAAAACAAAGTACTTATATTTTAAATAAGTAAACTTAGTCCTTTTATTATGAAAGTACATGCAGGAGTTAGGAAACGGCTTAGTTTGCTTATATATACTATCAGTTCTAAACTCTCTTCCCCAAAGGCCCAGTAAGGAAATCCGTCCGTAAATTCGTTGGTACATGCATGTTATACTGGCAAATCATTTGCTGTACGTACAAACCTGCGTGCTCTCTCTCTGCATGCGCTTTCTGTATGGAAGTTGGTGACCGTTGGTCAAAGGAATGAAAAATATAGTTTGAGAGTGACTTCATCATTTTTGAACCTTTGACGAGACTAACATTTTACTCGCTTGTAATGTCATTAGATTTATTCATTTACATATAAAAAGAAACTAAAATATCTCGAGAACAAAAACGATAAGCTGTACATATAGAGTAAATTCACCAAATTATTTTACAGATCCCTCTGCCTATAAAGGAGACTTAAATTTCGTTACCATGCAATATGGTAAACTCTCTTGTTTTCTCTGCCATGCCTTTGGCCAATATCGCAGAAGACAGGACCGACTTCATGTAGACATTCAGGCACTTACGCTGAAGCTGAGTATACCTTAATTTCGAGATAAAAAGGAAGTCGCTATGACACATTTTGTGTGTTTTTTTTCAATAATTGCATTGAATTTGATTTTTTAAAGACATACCACTGTGCATGGTAAAAATAAATATAATTGTTTTGTTTTGTTGATATACGTTTATTTCTTTGCCTCGGTTTTGACGAAGCTTACATTCCATGCAAGTCCGGTATTCATCGGGGCTATAATAATTTAATTGCTTTTCTGAAATATAATAATTTAATACACTGGTGAAGATCCATGCGTGCAGACTTACGGATCGAAAGCTATAGTAATACAAAATAAGCGTGATGTTTTCACAAATACCAAACAATTATATTTCCGTCGTGCAATCATGCAAACAAGGCTTTTAACGGCGAAATTGACTATAATTACGAAATGGAATGTTCACGAAATTGAAGTGCTAAAATCTACTTGAAATAGACCGAGTGGAGTGTATATATGATTTGTGCCTTTTTTCAGTGACATACCTTTCTGTACCTCTGACGTAAATGAGAGTTCTTTGGGAGTTCCTCACTCAAACAAACACACTCGATGTCAAAGTAGAACAGTTTAGAACTGATATCCTTAATAGTGATAAAGTTAGATTGTTTTTTTGATGTCGTATAACGCCTGAATCCACTATCGGTGAGAACAGCAGTTAGAATTAGCACTGAAAGATCGAGCTAGCTATCTTTATGAGTAACACTAAAACGTCAGTTAAGTAACGACCCCTAGCCTCTGCATGGGAAACCACTGATAGAGAGATCCAATATAAATAAACATATAGTGACCGCATTTTTGCAGACTCAGCAAGATCGATCACAAATGGCTTGTGAATGAATTGACAGTTCCGACGCTGCATATAGTTATGCAGGTTGTAACGTCTTGTAAGCCGTTTATTTTTGTTTTTTGCATATATCTAGTACGGACTTATATTTACGAGCTAGGTCGCGCGCGAAACTCATTGTCGGTATTTAAAACATATGCTTTTTGGCAAATCATGTAAACAATAATATGTCACGTGAAGTGGCTTGATACCTGATAAAACTCCATTCTCAGTAAAAATCTTCATTCGTAGTTCTTTATATAACTATAGTCCATCCTCATTATAGTATTATAGTCTTTACTGATGTAAAGAATACTAAGGAAACGACATCTATTGTAGACGTGTTGTAAGTCATTTAAACCACAGACTTTATAGTCGTGTTTTATCATATCTAAAACAGTGTTCCCGCTCGCATTTTCAATTCAAACTGATGGGAGTGCGCAGCGCGAGCATTTTAGCTATGATCAGAAAACACGACTTCAAGTGCTAATTTAAATAGTATATAACTCTATCTTATACTGTAGTATACATAATGGCAATCTTCCATTCCAGTAAAATTCTTTCACTTTCATAGTCTTCATTCTCATGCCAAAATATCAAATTATAACTGAACACATTTTCTGGTTAGTTGCATGTGCAATCATTTTGAAGCACTTCAGTCAGGGAGAGATATGACTATAATTTATATTTATTGATAGAAAAGATTGTCAATAGTAATTTGATGAAATACGACTTCGTTGACTTAGCTAGACCATAAATCGCCACAATGTTGATATTGACTAGACCTATATGTTGAGGAATAAGGAGATATTGTTACACTGAATTGAATGGTGCCGGTATTTTTGTCCTTGTTCATGGACTCACTGAACTGAAGCTATGAAGCTGGAAAGTTGTTGCTGAAACCATAGCGCAACGTCATGGTTAATTCTGGACGTCATGCATGCTAAAGATTAATCTTTTCTCATGCATAACCGTATAACAATAGACAATCTTCTGTTTCAGCAAAATTCTTTCACTTTGATAGTCGTCTTTGTTATGATTATGCAAAAAATAACTGACAAAACACATTTCCTTGTCAGATGTGCAATCATTTTGCAAGACACTTTCAACGAGAGCAAGTTGAAGAAAACTAAACTCAGAGAAAATTTATTTGGTAAGTTTGTACTGACAAATGTAAACTAACTGGTGCATGCAGTAAACTGTTCGATTCCTACATAGATATATTTGATTCCTTTCAACAGCTTAAGCTTGATCTTATTCTGTTTCATATACAGGGTGTATAAAAAAAAACGCAACCTCGGAATTTCCTAAGAAATCACTTTGCAATTCTTAAGCATAAAAGATTTTAAGCCGCTGGGAATTGAAATCGAATTGCTAATAGATCTTATTACTGTTGTTGTGCATTAAATAAATGCATAAATTTTGCTTTATGCACTCGCTTGTGCAATAATTTTGACAGTTGTGCTATTTTAAATTCCCAGGCGCCTAAAATCTTTTGTCTTTAAAACAATGTCGATTTCTTGGGAAATTCCGAGGTTGCGTTTCTTTTAATACACCCTGTATAAGCGCGCGGTTTAAACCGATAGAAACTAATAACATAATTGATTTATATATATACTCAATTGCATGGTGGGTCACAGACACAGGTTCAGCGTGCTCTTTTAAATCTTAAGCTCGAATAAAAGTATGGAATTTCTGCAACAACAAAAAATCTTTTCAAAAGGAAAATAAAGGGACTAGCTGATGGGGCGAGCCAACATGTCATCATTTACATTTGTCATTTCCTCAGAAAACATGAGAACTATATAAATGTACTGTATAGGGGTAATTAATCTATGAACCAGTAAAGCCATCTTAAAATCTAAACTATTGGATAGTAAGAGTTTTTCAGAACTCAAATGACTCAGCTGACAAATCTGAGAATATTGGATTGCCTCAAAAACAAGGAAATATAACTTCTCCGACATCAAAAGGTTGGCAAGGATGATGAAGCAATTTTGATGTCACTGTGTAGGTTTCAAACGTCAGTTAAAAATCGTGCACCTGCATGGGCTTGTATTATATCACTGCGCAGGACTAGTAAACTTATCGAGCGACATATGAAGTCAGAGCGGGTGCTCAACCATTTTCTCGGCCAAAATTTTGTCTGAATTTTGTCACCCGACCCACTGATTACTGCCAAATTCCATTCTCAACAGAAAACTTTCTGTGTTGCTGGTACAAATGGCACAAATCCCATTCTTATAGTGATCCAAATTCTATTTTTCCGGTGAGAATATAGGCTACACCCATTTTATTGACCCCTTCATGCACGAGCTTCATTACTAATACGTATATACAACGGAGCTGCCTTCTTAACTGCCGATATCAAACTTTGCGTAAACAAAAAGTCGTGTCGTATTGCGCGTATCATATTTCCAACTTTTCCCTATACAAATCACCCCCAAATTTGATGTTTTTTCGCTTACGATTGCTCTACGATTATATTGGTGTTCAGTTACCCTCGGTATAGGAAAGAATAAGCCTTTAGACGTCTTTTGAATGTACTTTTATGGGGAAATAATTTATAATTCTTAATTCGAATGTCAGTTTTGAGTTTTCGTTTGATTATGGGCTATTTGTTAGAATTTGTATAGGAAATTCGCCTCGCGCGTGGTGTCTGTTGAAGAAAACTGGTACTAGGACCTTCTGCGCAGGTCTTTGACTCCAGTTACCGCCCGATTCGAAGTTTTCGTGAAATTTGGCGCGGGATTTAGGAATGTCAAAATGAGCGCAAAGATTTGGGTTTTGCTTGTGTTTACAACCTCATTAATAATTCACTTGCTCGGCTGCAGGGGATGGCGAAGGGACGTCTCAGACTCGATCTCGACTCTACCTTATATACCTTATATGTCTTACAGTGTCACCAGATAAGTATTGAACATTATTGTAATGATTTTACGTTTAGTTATAGTATACTGCCTAATTATAATTGAAGATTACGCTTGGGAAATGCTGCTTAGTAATATACGTTATTCTGATTAACACCGTTTAACATCAAAATACAACGATAAGAGGATCAAAGTTATCATTCGTGCTTGGCCAGTGTTGTCAATCGTATAATTCATAAAATGCGTTGCCTTGTTTACTCGATACATCGTGCTCGATTTATAAGCCAAACGGTTTGATGCTCGAAGACGAAGCGTGCGCTTTGGTCTCGATCTACGCCATATAATAATAACAATAATAAACTTTATTTAATTTAAAGAAGGTATTAAAATTATAATACAAAACCACTAAACCAGTTTAACACAGCTAATTGCGACCAGCGAGCGAGCACCAGCGAGCGAGCTGGGAGCATCCTAATCTGTGCGTAGAAAATTTAAATATACCGCTGAGTTCGGATTAGCCCCGGCTCAAGATTCACCGATTCACCGATTCACCTCGGCTTGCATTCCATATTTGGAACATATTTCCATATTTGGAAGACCGCATGAAACGGTATTTCCGCCGCTGTTATGCCGCCCAGTGTTTTATTTACTCATCGATACTGACGCAATTTTATACATGTACCTTTAGCTTAATTTGTTCATCAAATCGTACATCAAATGAAGCTTAACTTAGCATCTACTAACTGTTGTAAGTCTGTTATTGAAGACAGATTTAAATAATCAAAAAGATTAAATGCTGTGCATGAGGATGTTGTGATGTATACAAAGAAATGTCTGTTGTTTGAAAGTCATGTGCCGGGCTTTAATATTTACTCGCTGGGGCACTCTGTGCCCTTGCGAGTATAGGTTTCGGCACGCGTGGTGGATGTCAGATTTCCGATGTCAGATTTCCGATCGTCGTTGATAGCCATAAAATAGAATATTAATGAGTTGCCTAATTTTCCCCCCAATTATCCATAAGGCTTCTGCCAATTTTACCCAAATTATCCATAAATAACCTTGCATTTTGAGGAAAATTCGGGAAAATTGAACAATTTTACAAGGAATTTCGCATAGAAACAGCAACCTTCGCAAATCGCAAGTAAGTTTATAAAGTTTTATAGAGAACCGAAGCAACACCGATTCAGCGTAAGAAATTATACTTACGGATGTCAAGTGTATTACAAAACACCAGTATTCTAGCGATTTATGGCCTTTGAAAATCAAGCGACATTGTATTTGTTGATAAATCGTTCGCAGTACGTATACTATTTTTGAGAAATCACTCGCGCTACAAACGTTCAAGATTGTATTTGTAATGCCTAATGGCGCAATAAGGATAAAAATACCACCGTTCGATTCAGCGTAAGAAATTGTACTCACGGATGTCAAATGTATTACAAAACAGCAGTATTCTAGCGATTTATGGCCTTTGAAAATCAAGCGAAATTGGTCAAATTGCATTAATTGTTTTTGTTTGTGGAAACACCCGACGTAAATTTATTACTGCAAAGCTTTCGATCCGTAAGCCCGGGTCTTCATCAGTGCTAATAATATTATTTTTATATCATATTATTAGCACTGATGAAGATCCGGGCTTACGGATCGAAAGCTTTGCAGTAATAAATTTACGTGGTGTTTCCACAAACAAAAACAATTATATTTTATAGCCATGCAAACATTCAAAGAACTCAAATTGTATTGTTTACGTAATTGTTGACAAATAGCTCGCAGTACGTTTCATAGTGTTTTGTAATGCATATTAGTGTTTTGATAATGCATATATCCACCGTTGCATTCAGCGTTAGAAATTGTACTAATTACGGGTGTCAAATGTATTACTAAACAACCGTATTCTAGCGGATTTATGGCCTTTGTCTTTGAAAATCAAGCGAAATTCAGTGTGTTCTTGATAAATCGCTCAAAATTATTAATTAAACTAATTATAAAAATACAGTACGTTTTGTCCTTGATAACTTTGGTATCATCGGTTTTCTCTTTTTCGGCCGCATACCAGTGGATTCGTCTCTCTCCACTCTTCATTTTGATAGTATTTTGAGCTCAAAAATATTTTATTTTGAACGCTTTAAAGCGCAGTTTAATCCTAGGCCTAGCGTACAGACCAACTGGCGGCTGACAGTTCTTGAAGAAGGTTGCAGCGTGGCTAAATATAACTCAACCTTGCAAGCCAGGTCTTTCAGCCTGCGCTGCGAGGTTGAATATAACTTTACTTGTAGTGTAGGGAAGTGTAGGGTAGGGCCTACCGCATTTTAGTACTGTGTTAAGCCTTTCGCGCTCGTTTTCGACTTTTCCGCTATGTATTGGTGTATGATCATGTACAGTAATGTGCGTATTTGTATAGCCCCAGCGAGTTAACGCTCCGTAGAGCGTCTTGTTATCTTTAAATTGCGCTTTGTCAATCAGTATTGTTATTGACAACGTCATGCTATTCATAGTAGGCGACTTTGCGCCGTAGCGACGATATAATCACAAATGCACTCCGCTATTTGTTATGTAATTTGTAGCAAGTGACGTAATTGGATACCAATTAGTCAAGTTAATATTTTGATAAATTTATCTAAATTGGATATTCAGTGTAAATGGGCCGACTTTTATTACTCGCTGGGGCACTCTGTGCCCCAGACGAGTATAGGTTTCGGCATGCATTTTTCTCCAATTGTCGATAGCCACAAAATAGAATATTAATGAGCTGCCTAATTTTCCCCCAATTATCCATAAGTCTCCTGCCGATTTTACCCAAATTATCCATAAATAGCCCTCCATTTTGAGGAAAATTCGGGAAAATTGAACAATTTTACTAGGAATTTCGCATGGAAACAGCAACCATCGTAACCTGAGTATCAGGCCCTCGGTTTTGAAAGAGGGCCTGACACAATTCGCCTCTAAAGCCATGTTCAACATCCAGAATCTGGATGTTATGCTGATTGGCTAAGAGACGATAAAACGCATCATGTGATTCAAACTGTGATTCAAAAGTTTATACGTTTGACTGTGCTGCTTTATATTTTGAGAAGAAAGCGACACCGTTCGATTCAGCGTAAGAAATTGTACTTACGGATGTCAAGTACTCAAGTGTATTACTAAACACCCGTATTCTAACGATTTATGGCCTTTGAAAATGAAGCGAAATTGTATTGTTGAAAAATCGCTGGCAGTACGGATTGTTGATCACAAATCACTCGCACTAACGTTTGTCCACAGGTTTGTCCTTGTATTTGTAATGGCGCAATAAGGATAAAAATACCACCGTTCGATTCAGCGTTAGAAATTGTACTAATTAATACGGATGTCAAATATACCGGTATTACTAAACAACAGTGTTCTAGCGATTTATGATGGTTGTCCAATACTGTCGAACGTATACGGATCGTAAAGATGGTAAAACATTGAACACAATCCGTACGGTCCGTACGAACTTGTAAAATGGCTTTGCGGACCGTACGATCCGTACGGTTCGTGAAGATGATTTACGGATCGTGAACCTACTTTGTCGATAGCGATGCTGTGTTGAAGTGAGGGCATAAAAGTTTGTCGATCCGTACGGATCGTACGGTCCGTACGAACTGTTTAATAGGGAGCTTAAGCATGTAGGACGGCAACACGACGACGACGGCAACCAATACAATGAGTCAATGAAAAGTGAATAAATAATTAAAGTCCCAGGGGAGTTTCAGACGTGGTCGTCGCTCTGTTTACAACGGCAAATCACAGATTTTCACGTCTTTTATACAACGCCTGCATTTCAAGGCGTAACAAGTGCAACTTAAAATTCGGTCTGTAGAACTCTTCCCAAACATAAAGCCAATGTTTTCAGCTTCTTATACTGTATTAAGTTCATACGAATTATAATATACGACAAGTTTTCTTTACTATCATTTATTTGAAGGAATTTGTTTTGGCCGTCGTCCTTGTGTTGCCGTCTTGCATGCTTAAGCTCCCTAATGGCTTTACGGACCGTACGAACAGTACGGTTCGTGAACATGATTTACGGATCGTGAACCTACTTTGTCGATGGCGATGTTGTGTTTACGTCAGGGTATAAAATGGCTTTACGGACCGTACGGTTTTTATGGCACAGCGTTGACCCTTTTCACGAAATACAGCCAAGTCAATAGTCATAATAACTAACAGTATAATCTAGGGTAATAATATTATAATCACTTCACACTGCATGTTTGTTGTTGTGGACATTATGTTGAAAATAAATTTTTGTTCCTCGTGTCCTTCCGTTTCAGGAACCTCTTTATGAAGCTGAAAACTTATTTCGCAAAAATTTTTGGACTTTGATGATTTTACTGAATTTTACGAAGATATGAACCTGCGTAGTTTCTAGCTTAACTAAAATCATATAGCGATATCGTCATGGTTAAATCTGGACCTGCCTATAAAGATTAAGTTATCTCATCTCGT